ATATATGCATATATATATGTTTGCCTGTGACAGTTTTTGTTGCTGCATTTGCCGCCTCTTTTCACATTTTTGATCGACAATTTCACTTTTCGTTGCCGCCACAAGCTCGAGGAAGAGCTCAAGCTCATATAGCCACACACACACACACAGACACACAAGCTGAGTCTTAAGGTACCACACATAATCCATGCATGCATATAGAGATATAGATATATATGTACACATATAAGGTCGACAACAATTGCGGTCGCTGGCAGCTCAAAGATTCCCAGGCGCATTGTTGAATCGCGTGCAGTCTTTTTCTATGGACTCGCTCTTGGATTGAATACATGTACATATATGTATGCATATACATATGTATGTGTGTGTATGCACACATAGATTGTCTGCCCGCTGGGGTCGTTTGTCAAACCTTATGGCGTTTTCAAGTGCAAAGCCAAGGTTGCATGCGAAGGAGTTGAGTTCGAGTGCCAGCAGTTGGCTCTATTATCGACATGAAACGGGTTTCCAGACAGAGAGAGAGACAGAGAGAGAGAGAGAGAGAGAGAGAGAGAGAGAGAGAGAGAGAGAGGAGAGGACTGAGTGAGTGAGTGAGTGAGAGAACGTGGCTTGTTTGAGGCATCAGCTGTAGCTGATGCTGCCAACTGTTGCAGAATTTCACTTTCTTTCGAAATTGCGCTGACCCCGATTTATTACCAATGACAGCAACAACAACAACAACAACAACAACAGCGACAACAACAACAGCAACGGCGTTAGCTTGTCCATAAGCCTCACAGCCCCCGCTGCTTTTGTTTTATTTGTATTTTATATCGTGTCACAGCGCCTCTAATTGAATTACGTTGTCTGTCTCCCTCTCTCTTTCTCTGCCCCCACATGGTGACAGTTATGCCTGCCTGCCTGCCTGCCTGCCCCCTCTCTTCGCCCTCTTTGCCTCCTCCACCCGTCGCCCAAAAATAATTATGAGAAAGCCCACGCCCATTGTTGCCGCCTCAACTCGTTTTTGGCTGCTCATCCACTGCCATTTCCATCGTCATTTCCATTTCCATTGCCATTGCCATTGATATCAAGGCAAATGTGCAGCCAGTTTTCACATAATTAGCTCAGCTGGCTCCGGCTCCATAAAATAACCCAACCACGGTTCAAAGTTGACCAGCGTCACGCCGAGTGGAAGCTGGGTCCAAATTTCCATGTATTATGAAAATTGGGTCATTAGGATCATCGTGAGCTGGCAATTGGGCAATGCCAATGACAAACTGAGAGCTGAGAAAAACTGCAAACTGAGCAATTGACAATATCTCATTCCATAATTCATTGTGGGTCTTGCTGTGGCCTTTGAGTGGGATGGCGATTAGTTTAGTTAATCCGAGTACAAATGAATGGTTCGTTCTACATCTATCTATCCCTCCCTATCCCTCCATCTCTTTTCAATCTCGTGATGTCTGTTTATCTATCTCTCTCTAACTGCCTATCTTTCTCCTTCATTCTTTTGCATTGTATTGCAGTTTTTCTCTGTCTCTTTTTCTTTTACTTTCTATGATCTTCTATCTCTATCTTTCTCTTTCTTTCCCTATCCGTTTGTCTATGTCTCTACACTTTCTACGAACTTCTCTCTTTCTCTCTCTCTCTCACCCTGTCTCTGTTTCTCTCTGCCACTCCCTAACACTTCCTCTGATCCCCCCTGCCCCCCTTTTTCTTATGATGCCTGTCAGCTATTACAATTCGCAAAAGTTGTAAATATAATATATTTTAATGTTTTCTCATCTCCAGTTTTCATCTGGTCAGATTTTATATCCAATTTATATAGTCATTCGAAACTGTATATATATCCGTTTGACAGCTAGCAAATTGACTTCCAACTCAAATGAAATTGAATTCCCAAAGAAAAGTTCAATTAGTTTGGGTTTGTTTACGCTTTAAGTAGTTTTTAAGCAGCTGCTGGCGATCGAAATGCGGAATCGTTGAGCAGATAATGAAGAGTCAACCACAAGAGGGAGAGAGAGAGAGAGAGAGAGAGAGAGGGAGGCAGGGAAGATACCTGGTTAGTCTCAACTTCAGCTTGAGCTGGGGGCCATGTGGGGATGTCAATGAGCGGGGCGAATGCCGAAAGCCGAAAGCCACCATAAATAATGGTAAATTGACATTTAGACGCACATGGAAGGAAGTTCAACATTGCTGTGGGTACCGGGCCGTGTGTTGCATGCAGCTTCTCTTTTTTATTGTGGTCGGACGTTGTTGCATGGAAAGCAACAACTGAAGCAAAGGCCAAAGCAAAGGCAACAACAGCTAATGCAAAGGCAACAATATTGCTTAGACTTAGTTGCTGTTACTTGATGGCCATGATGACGCCATCTGGCGGCCGGTAGCCATTGGCCATTGGCCATTGGCTTGGGTCAATTAACAATTTGGGCCAAGACCCTGCCCCCTCGAGTCGAGAGAAAGCCGCAATAAGCCAAAATTCATTCGTCATAGCCACAGTTACACATATTTCAAATCGTATTCAAATTTTGTTGATACAAATTGTTTTCCGTTGTTGAATTGAAATTTACCAACAAAATGAAAGGTCAGAAATTCTTCACTCTTTTTTTTTTGTGCAGTTGTTAAATTGTAATATTTGTTTATTATTAATAATATTTGTTTATTATTAAAGAGAATTAATTTACTTATTATTTCATATGCTTATATTTAAT